TGATTTTTTATTAATACTCCAGTGTTTTTACTAATGTTCTTGCCGCTACCAAAACTGTTCTTAACAGCTATCCCCATTTGTCAAAATTAAGTGAAATAAGCCAAGCACAGAAAGACAAACTTCTCATGTTCTCACTCATTTGCAGCAGCTGCAAATTAAAACAATCAAACTCATGGAGACAGGCAGTAGAATGTTGGTTACCAGAGACTGGGATGGGTAGTGAGGAGTGGGGGGAAAGTGGGGATGGTTAATGGGCACAAAAAATAGAAAGAATGAATAAAATCTAGTATTTGATAGCACACAGGGTGACCGCAATAAATCATAATTCATAGTATATTTAAAAATAACTAAAAGTCGGGCATGGTGGCTCACGCCTATAATCCCAGCTCTTAGGGAGGCAGAGGCGGGAGAATAGCTGAAGCCCAGGAGTTTGAGACCTGCCTGGGCAATATAGCGAGACCTCATTCTCCACAAAAAGGAAAAAAATAAAGACAAAAAATAATAAAAATAACCAAAAGAGTATAATTGGAATGTTTGTATAACAAGGAAATGATACATGCTTAAGGTGACAGATGCCCCATTTACCCTAATGTGATTATTACATGTTGAATTCCTGTATCAAAATGTCTCATGTACCCCATAAATATATACTTACTATGTGCCCATAAAAATTAAAAATTTTAAAAAAGTGGTGCCTTGAGATGGAATCTACTCCTGGTGAAGATGCTGTCAATATTGTTGAAATGACAACAAAGGATTTGGTGTATTACATAAACTTCATTGATAAAGCAGCAGCAGGGATGGAAAGGATTCACTCCAATTTCCAACAAAGTTCTACTGTGAGTAAAATACTATCAAACACCACCACAAGCTACAGAGAAATCTTCCATTAAAGCAAGAGTCAATCGATGTGGTAAACTCCATTGTTATTTTAAGAAATTGCCACAGCCACCCCAACCTTCAGCAACGACCAACCTGATCAGTCAGCAGCCATTAACACTGAGGCAAGATCCCCTAGCAGCAAACAGATTACAACTCACTGAAGGCTGAGATGATTGTCAAAATTTTTTAGCAATAAAGTATTTTAAATTAAGCTACATACAAGGTATTTTTAGACATAATGCTATTGTACACTTAATAGGCTACAGTATAATGTCAACATAATTTTTATATACACTAGGAAACCAAAAAATTCATGACTTATTTTCTTGTGAAACTCACTTTGTTGCAGTAGTCCAGAAGTGAACTATAAAAGTATCTCAGAGATCTCAAAGGTATGCCTACATATTTATAAATCTCTTAATACATGAGCAGAAATTTATTAGAGGAATTGGCTCCCCCAATTACGGAGGCTGAGAAGTCTCACGATAGGCCATTTGCAAACTGGAGAACCAGGGAGGCCCACAGTGTAACACTCAGTTTGAGATCGAAGTCCTGGGAACCCGGGGTAGGGGGTGTGCTGTTGCAAGTCCAAGTCCAAGTCCAAAGGCCGGAGAATCTGAAGTTCTGATGCCCAAGTGCAGTTGAAGAAAGGTGTCCCTGCTCCAGAATAAGGATCACATTCACCTTCCCTCCCTTCCTTTTTGTTTGAATGCGGCTCTCAGCTGACTGGCTGTGGGCAGATCTTCCTTACTCAGTCCACTGATTTAAATGCCAATATCTTCTGGAAACACATTCATAGGTATACCTAGAAATAACGCCTTAACAGCTAGCTGAGTACCCCTAGCCCTGTCATGTTGACATCTAAAACTAACCATTATAGACTTATCTCATTATTACACCCAATAACTGGCTTACAGTCTTTTTGCTTCCTGTCCTGGCAACTCTGAGTCTGCTGGTTTGGAAGTCTTAGTATCCATGAAGGGAACAAAACAGCGGTTCCACTGAATCATAGGATGAGACAGGTTATCAGTTTTCTATTGCCTGCATGACAAATGACTACAAATTTAGTAACTTAAAACAACACAAATTTATTTACCTCATGGTTTCTGTGGGTCAAGGGTCTGGGTACAGGTTAGCTGAGTCCTCTGCTCAGTGTTACCAGGCTGAAATTAAACCATTAGCTGGGGCTGTGATCTCATCTGAGACTTAGGACCCTATTCTTAGCATGTGTGGTTGTTAGCACAATTCAGTTTCTTGTAGTTGTGATTAGAGTTCTAGTTTTTTGTTTTGTTTTGTTGTTTTACTGTTAGCTGAGGACTGCTCTCAGCTTCTAGAGGTCACCCTCAGGTCCTTGCGGTCCCTACTCTCACAATAGGCTGTTTTTCTTCTAGACCAGCAGGATAACTCTTCTGCTTTTAAACAACTTGCCTAATTAGATCATACCTACACAGGATAATCTCCATTTGGATTATAGTCAACTGATTAGGAACCCTTTGCCATATAGCATAATCATGGAGGTGCTATCCAATCATATTTACAGGTCTCAACCGTGCTCAAGAAGAGTTTACATGGCTGTGTACAAGATGGGGAAGGGGTCATGGCATTCATCTTAGAATTCTGCTTTTCAGACTGCTACCTGGTCATTTTGCACTTCTTCTACCACTTAGCCAATGAATGAAAAAGAGGAGGTCATTTATTGGCTGTAGTGATTGATCACAATTTCCAAGGTAAATTGGTTTGCTGCTGCAAATGGAAGCAGGGAGGACTGTCTGGAACCCAGGAGATGCTTTAAGGTGCCTCTTAATACTTTCGTGTCCAACAGTAAAGGTTAAATGGAAAACCACAAGAATCAGAAAAGGGGCAGGATGACTGAGGATTCAGACCTTTCAAAAAGGAAGGTTTGAAGCACTCTACCAGGCAAAGAACCCAGAGCATCTGATTCTGACTGTGAGAAAGGGAAATACAGAGGTAGTTGAAGGTGGAAGCTATGGATATCAACCATAATCTTGTGACCAAATACATAAACAAGGACTGCAGTAGCTCTGCATATTTTCTCTTTGCTTGTATGCATGTGTTTATTTTTATTTCCTACTTTCCTATCCTCCCTATTTTTATTACATAGGTTATTGAAAGTCAACTTTACAATTCAGTCTTAACAATATTAGGTGGGATGATGACTGAATCGAGGAGTAATTAATATAGCCAGCAGTAAATCCAATGACTGTTGAGACTTTGTGTCTTATTTTGGGGAACAGCAAGTGCTTCACTTAACAGAAGGGTAACTGTATCTCACTAGGCCAAAATATAGTTACCTGCTCTGTTGTGCAAAAGTTCAAATATGTGCAGAAGGGTGTGTATGTATGGAAGCTGAGCAGTCAAAGGGGCGACTAAGCCCCCTTGTCAATTTATCACTTCTCAACTCCAAATTCATCCTTCAGTATCTACTCTGTGATAACAGATTGAACAATAAGCATTTCTCCTTTAAAATGAGAATAAGAAGTAGAGGATGCTGGAGGGGTGCTGCAGGAGGAAAGGAACTTCTCATCCTAGTGTTGGTATGCTCATTTTTTTTTTCTCTTTTGCTCTCACTGCAAGGTCAGTGGTATATGCATCTGAAGGTGTTTTGCTCCGGTTGCACACAGAATGTACAGTACACCCTGCAGTCCCAACCTAGGAGGCCTAGTGACCACCTTGCTGCAGCCCTCTTGAGATGCACCCCACATGCTCCTGACCTTGTACCTGCAGCAGTGCCCTCTCTGTATCCCCACCCATCAATCTCAGCTTTCCTTTCTCCTAAAGTTTGGCTTCTGAAGTCCTTCAATGTGTAAAAGTTCTAACCCAGTTTCACACCTGCAGAAATGTCCTCTCTCTGCAATCTGCTCACCAGCCTTGGCTTGCTTGTGTCCCAGAGGACCGTTTCCTGTTTATCAGACAATTATAAACCAGTTCTGGCCCCAGGTACACAGGCAGACTTCCATACCACCCAGTGGTTTGCACCCACAACTTCTTCAAAAAAGTCTGAACACCAGAGGGGGACTCTCTTCCAACTTTGTCCTTTGGCTACTCACTCTCAGCCCTAGAATAGTTTAAATTCTTTAAACATATTTCTATTGTTCTATCACCACATAATAATCCTTTAAACTTAGTTTATTTAAATTATGGTGTCTTCTGTCTCCTGGTTGAACCTAGATTGACAGATGTAATTGATTGTTAAGTTTGGGACAGGGAAGTGAGCATGAGTGGCACTTTCTTTCCCTCCTCTCTCTTTGGAAATAAGCTGCTTATAGAGAAAATGCATTCTGCCCCATTACTCCTTGCTGTAACTTTTACAAGAGCAGGCCATAAAATAGTCTTAGTCCAGTGTTGTTTGTGCTTGGATGGGTATATGATTCTGGGGCTTGGCATAAAGAAACCTACTTTTACACATATATAAGTTTCATTCTCTAATTTTAGCCTTATCATTAATAAAAGCAATATCCCATGCTCCCACTACCTCTTGTCTATGTCTGGATTAGTTTGGAACTCGGGTGGGAAAGAGATCAATGTGAATCACTTAAAAACAGCTTGCTGGTTTTCCTTTTGATATGTTGAATGTGAAATGGTTTTATAACTTCCTAGCCTTACAGTGGTACAAGTCTAATCATAATTAATATATACTGAAATTTAATACTAAACACAATCCTGGAATATTAGATCTCAGAAAATACACCAGGGAGAACTTACAAATCACCCAACTTTTATACAGTTGGGCCTTCTACCAGAAACATATTTTATTTTTCTAAGTCTACCAATCTTCTTTCTTTGTGCTTTTCATGATGAGCTGAATAATCTCTTTAATTTATATAAATATTAAACATTTAATGTTTTTCTATAAAACTGAACACATTTTAATGAAACTATGTGACCACACAAGGGTCCCAAAGTACTCGATTTTCATAAAGATTACATCGATTAACACAGAAACAAGAGTCCACATAGATCGTAACAGCTGATGGGGAAGTAACATACAGAATTCAGGGTATCACAGATTTGTGTCATCCAGGAAGTTTTCAGTTACAGCAAGTGATAGAAAAAGCAAACGAAGACTAGCTTTAAAAATACAGGAAATCGGACCTTGAGCCCTCAGGAATGAGATAGCGGTTCTCTGGAGACTGAGTGCTCTTTGCGGTGCCCAAGGAGGCCGAGCTCTGTTGCTACGAACTTCAGTGGTCAGACCTGCTCATATTTCAGCATTTCTTCAGGACCAACCTACCCCAGAATGGTGTGGAGTGCAGCACATTCACTTGTCACCGAGTCACCATTCTGGTTCCAAGGCTGCATCTCTCCACTGTACTAGTGAGAGGGTTGTCAGTGTTTTGCTTCTGGGTCTGCTTCCGGCTACTTATTTGAATCCTTGCTCTGCGATGGACTATTCTCTGGCTGCAACTCTCACTCTTCATGGTCACTGGGGCCTTGGACAAGTTGTTACTATGTTCATGGGGATGTCTCGCAGAAATCTGCCAAGGCAGGGCTTTTGGGACTTTCAGCTTTAACCTTTGCTGGGCTTTACTATTTCAACTATCACGATGTGGGCATCTGCAAAGCTGTTGCCATGCTGTGGAAACTCTGAGCTTTTTGACTTCATACTTTGAAGAATTGATGTATGCCTATTTGCCTCTGCTTTGTCATGTCATTCAGCTCACAGTAAGGAAGAAATAACATAAGTCTATTGGTGAACAGTCTTCTTCTCTTAATCTTTGAGGAAAAGGTTTGAGAGGAATTATGTCTAAGAAATTGTGAGTCTGAGTTCTGTATTCTGGTAAGTAAATGGGGTTGCCTCCCAGCTTCTCATAAGACTCACAGTATAACTAAACATGATATATGAGCATTTGCCTTTTATCAATCTCTTAAAGAGAATCCAGTTTTATTACTATTAATATATGATCAAACTTCTTTTTTGCCTTGGAAATAATGGACAAAGGGAAATATCGTTAATTCATGAATAAAAACTTTGCAGAAAACTAGACAGTGTTTAATTTTTGAAAATTTCCCTCTCTATTCAGTAGATACCACCTACTGATGGATACATATACTAGGGAAATTTTAAAATTTGGAAATGCTGGTATCTCATATTATAAATTTCTAAATCCTTCGAAGAAAAGCTTGTGGTGCTTCTGAATATAGAGAAGTTCCATGTAAGGGCAAAGTTCCCCTTGTAGACATATCAAAATATTATAGATTCTAAATTGAGACTTAATTCTCAAATGTGTTCTATTTGTTCTAAAACAGTCTGTCCACAAATATAAAACTATAAGTAATAAATTGTTATTTTCACACTAAAAAAAAAAAAATACATCAGCCGGGCGCGGTGGCTCATACCTGTAATCCTAGCACTTTGGGAGGCTGAGGTGGGTGGATCACCTGAGGTCAGGAGTTCTAGGACAGCCTGGCCAACATGGTGAAACCTGTCTCTACTAAAAACACAAAAATTAGCTGGGTGTGGTGGCACGTGCCTGTAGTCCCAACAACTCGGGAGGCGGAGACAGGAGAATCGCTTGAACCTGGGAGGCAGAGGGTGCAGTGAGCTGAGATCAAACCACTGCACTCCAGTCTGGACGACAGAGTGAAACTCCGTCTCCCAAAAAACACACAAAAACAGGAAATCTATTGGGTCACCCAGTTGAATTCCAGAGAATACATGCTGCTAGGGGTAAGGACTAATCCAGAATCCCATGTAATACAGCATAGTACCTAATTCCTTTCTTTCAATTTCTTATTGTTACTTCGTTGGTGCTGACTCCATTTTGGACAAACTCACTCTGCTTAATCTATGATTCTAAATTGGCTTTGAGAAACTCTAAGCTCAAAAATTAGCTCTAAGTTTTTTCACCCTGAGTATAGTGACATAAATTCTGTAGCAGTGCCCTGACTCTCTGTATGTCCACCCATCAATCTCTGCTTTCCTTTCTCCTAAAGTTTGGCTTCTGAGGTCCTTCACTGTGTAGAAGTTCTGCTCCAGTTTCACACCTGCAGAAATGTCCTAACTCTTTCTGCAATCTGCTCGCCAGCCTTGGATTGCTTGTGTCCCAGAGGACCATTTCCTGTTTATCAAATTCTGTTGAATTGTTTATCTTGTTTCCCAGGGGACTATTTCCTGTTTATCAAATTCTGTTTGCAGCAAAGAGAGAATTTATGTCACTATACTCAGGGGGAAAACGTCTTTAAGAGTCACTCTGATAGGGAAAATGTGGCACATATACACCATGGAATATTATGCGGCCATCAAAAACGATGCGTTCGTGTCCTTTGTAGGGACATGGATAAACCTGGAAACCATCATTCTCAGCAAACTCACACAAGAACAGAAAATCAAACACCACATGTTCTCACTCATAGATGGGTGTTGAACAATAAGAACACATGGACACAGGGAGGGGAGCATCACATACTGGGGTCTGTCGGGGGGACACAGGGGATGGACAGCATGGGGAGAAATGCCAGACATAGGTTATGGGGAGGAAGGCAGCAAATCATACTGCCACATGTGTACCTATGCAACAATCTTGCATGTTCTTCGCATGTACCCCAAAACCTAAAATGCAATTAAAAAAGTAATTAAAAAAAAAGTCACTCTGATCATATCAGCTTAAGTAACTGTGCCAATTTCAAACCACTCATTATGAACAGAGATAGCACATTCAGATTGGCTCTGCTAATTATGGCTGTCTCTGGGGCAGGTGAGGCTGATCCCATCTAAATCACAAAACTGAGAATGGAGGGACGGGGTAAGTTCCACAAAGAAATTCCGTAGCCAGGTGAGGTAGCTCATGCCTGTAGTCCCAGCTATTAGGGAGGCTGAGGCAAGAGGATCCCTTGAGTCCAGGAGTTTGAGCCTGCAGTGAGCTATGATCATGTGATCATGCCACTGCACTCCAAACTGGGTGACAGAGCGAGACCCTGTCTCAAAAAAAAAAAAAGAAAAGAAAGAAAAAAAAGAACTTCAGACTCCTGCTCCAAAAAGGAAGAGGCATGGATTCTACGCAGCCAAGTAACAGGTATTCATTACAGGGACTTCCAGAGTCTTTTTCCTATTTACTCCTTTAGAAACAAATTTGAGACTTTAACCCCAAACTTCACATAATTTCTGCATGTTACCTAACTTGTCTTTTGAAAATAGGCATAAAGGTAACTAAATCATCTCACAGGATTTTGTTTCTATAAGCTATTTTACAATAGCTAAAGAGACCTTGTTATAAAAGTAGTAATAATACATACTTTATCTGGAGGATTTTATACTCATCAAAGTGTCCACATTCAAAAGAAAATGTTAACTCTGATGACTCAAACTCCAACATACTTTTTAGTTCATATCCCTTTTTTAGTGTGTTTAGAAGACAAGACTTTCTAATATTGTCAGACTACAAAGGCATGTATTCAAATGTAATGGCCTTCTTTTCACAAGGCATGGTACCCATCATTGTCTTTGATTACATTTTCTGGCGCACAGCTCCAGCAAGTTCGTTTATTTATTTTTTGGCCTGTGTCTTTATCTTCAAGGGTTCTCCCTAGAGTCGTGTTCTTATTTTCCCTTTGCCAACCTCTTCTACCTACACTCTTTCGTAGACTTGCAGTACTTTTACAAGCTAAAGTTCTTTACCTTCCTTTTATCTGCCAAAACCCAGGAAAGAAGAGCCCATAGTGAAATGAATACTTACAGTCACTCCATTCCCTAAGTTGCTTGCACTGTCATTAGCCTCTATAATTTGAATCTGCTTTATCAGTGGCACCAATCTTCATCCTACCAAATATCTACTGGTTGATTAACACCTTCTGTTTTGAATTTGTTTCTCTTATCTAACCAGTCTTCCTCTGTCACCCCTAAGAAATAGCCATGTCTCTCTGTTCTAATTACTCTCACTTCTCTTTTACCCAGTAAAGCCCATACAGGTTTGGTCAGGCTCCAAGAGTTCTCATGTCCTGGTCCCAATCTTTCAGCTTTCTCTTCAACTTCCTTTTATTATTACATTGACAACTCACTGTTCAAGGCAAGTCACCAGTGCTTTCCTTTTTCCATGGTTCCCTCTGGGATCTTCATTCAATGCCCAACTTAAATGTTTCCCCCTCCATGAACCCTGCTGTAGTTCCCCTAAGCTATAAAACACTACTTCAGACTCCATCAACCAGGTCCAAGCTACCACCTGCTCATGACAGACATTTGTAAAAGCTTCCTAACTAATATTCCTGCTTTTCGCCTTTCTTGTTTCCTCTGTATAATCACCAATGATCTCTCAATTGAAACTCTTTATCATGGCCTACAAGGTCTGGTCTCTGCTAACATTTATTGGCCCAGGCATGCTAAGCACTTTAAAAAAATTCATTCATTTCGCGGTGGCTCAAGCCTGTAATCCCAGCACTTGGGAGGCCAAGGTGGGTGGATCACGAGGTCAAGAGATCGAGACCATCCTGGTCAACATGGTGAAACGCCATCTCTACTAAAAATACAAAAATTAGCCAGGCATGGCGGCGCATGCCTGTAGTCCCAGCTACTCAGGAGGCTGAGGCAGGAGAATTGCTTGAATCTGGGAGGTGGAGGTTGCGGTGAGCGGAGATCGTGCCATTGCATTCCAGTCTGGGTAACAAGAGCGAAACTCCGTCTCAAAAAATAAAAAACAAAAATTCATTCATTTAATCCTCTCAATAATCCTACAGCTAGGTACTTTCAATTTCCTCATTTGTAGCAGATGCTGTTGGTAACTCGCCCAGACCCCTTTTACAGGACTGGTGCACCCATACTCTAGCTGCTGTAGGTGTAGGCTGGTAAGAGCTCACACTTTGGCCCTTATTTGAAGGATTGCCCTTGGCTGAGGAGAGGTACCTAGTCACTCCTCCATCCCTTTTCCCCACAGTCAGTACTGACAGCCTAATGTGGGAACCTAATGGCTCAGCCCCCTCACCTCTTGCAGAACTGCTGTGGCCCAACTCATTCGGCAGAGTGCCCTATGGGGTCGGGCTGAGGCTACTCCTGAAACTCCTCTGCCTTATCCCATTTACTTTACTCCATTGCAGATTTCTCCTAAAAGTGCTCCCTCAATCACTTGCCCAAGACTCCCCATCTCCAGCACTGTTACAGAGGAAATGATCTAAGATACCATTTTACAGGTCAGGAAACCTAAGACAAAGAAGGCTGAAGTGATCTGCCTAAGATCAAACAGAAAATGGGAAAGCTGAATTTTGAAGCCAGAGGGTCTGGCTGTCCACCCTGAGCTCTTTCCCACCATACTGTAGTGGCCATTTCTCCAACCTCCTCTCTCTCCTCACTCATCCCACCAGCCAGTTAATTCCTGCCTCAGGCCCTTTGTACTTCCTATCCTCTCTGGCTAGAAATGTGTTTCCTCTCACTGTGGCTCTCTTCCTCACTTCTTTCAAAATATTCCAAATATGACCTCAGAGACCTTTCCTGACCCCAACCATACTACCTAAGATAGCAACACTATCCCCCAGTTCTGCTTGTTTTATTTATAGCATTAAATACCTAAATCATGTTATGCATATACTTGGTTTTCTGTCACTTTTACACCAAGAAGAAAATTCCCTGAGGGCAGGAATATTGTCTGGCTTATTTTTATTGATATATCCTCAGTGCTTGGTGACACACTTGGAAAAGAGGAGTTGAGTGACTATTTGTTGCTGAATGACTGAAATTGAGTTCTCTTCTCTCAGAACTCTTACTGGGCTTTGTAACAGATTCCTTACATGTTCTGAATCTATAATTGTAGTTATTTAATGCATATTTATCTATCACACAAGCTTACATGCTCTCGGAGGAAGAATTTTGTTTTATTCATTTGGGAGTACATAGGAGGTATTTAAATAATGGTGCTATCTTAAGCACCAAATATCAACTGCAGTTCATTTTTCCACATGGGGACTAATACCAGGATTTCATATGAATAACAGTATAATCCAGAAGTATAAAAACATACATCACATTTAACTTATAAAGTGTTCCTATGCATGTTACAAGATATTACAGTAAATACAATTAGGTACTTATTTTATCTTTATTTCAAAAAAATGCCATTTCCAAAATATAAAAAAATAATTTATTTTCAAAGAACTATTTAAAGATGGCTTTGAAAACAATAGTTTTATTTACAACAAATAGATGGTAGTGCAACA